TTGCCGGTTCCTCTGCTTCACCCCTCGTCCGATCGGCCGACGTTTATCGACCGGCTGGCGAACAGCCTCACCAAACGGAAACGCTCCACACCTCAGAAATTTGTGGGTAAGGGGCTCCCCCGTGCTTCCCGGAAAGAGCAGAGGGACAGGTGAGGGTGGAGGTAGCACCAATTCTTTGGCCCTTCGTGTAGGAAGTGACCACCACTCTGAATGGGCTACGGCCCTGTCCACCCGAACACCACTGACCTTACCCAGCACCTGTCATCCCACTGGGATGGAAACGCTCCACACCTCAGAAATTTGTGGGTAAGGGGCTCCCCCGTGCTTCCCGGAAAGAGCAGAGGGACAGGTGAGGGTGGAGGTAGCACCAATTCTTTGGCCCTTCGTGTAGGAAGTGACCACCACTCTGAATGGGCTACGGCCCTGTCCACCCGAACACCACTGACCTTACCCAGCACCTGTCATCCCACTGGGATCCGCCACCTCCCCCCCCAAAATGCAGCCACCTCTGGGGAGGGAGACGGTGGCACCTTTTCCGCACTGGGACCACAGTGGTGTTCAGAAGGAAGCAGCAGGGGCGTGGATGAGGGGATGTCATTCCGAGGACTGACCTGGGGGCCTGTGTGCTGCCCACCAGCATCAGGCCGTGTTGGGACATCATGGTCAACGTGTGCCCCCAGCCTGCTGTAAAAGGGTAGGGCGCCCCCTGCTGAGTCCCCCTTCCCCAGACACACAGCACTCCCAGTGTCAGGGTTGGTCCCGATCCCGGCAGACCAGCGGAGCTGAGCAATGGGGCCTAGGCCTGTGTGGGTTGCACCGGGGGAGGGATCGTAGGCTGAGCTGGGCAGAGTGGAGCCGGTCCCTAGGCGCAGGGCCACTGCAGTGCGGGTGGGGCTTGCCCTGGGGGCCTGACCCCTTGCTCCTTGCTCCCAGGGGAGAAGCAGATGCGCTTCAACCTCTCCGACCTCCCCTTCGATGTGAACTCCAGCTTCGAGAAGGACGTGGAGCTGGTGGCTGCCCACCACCCCATGGACCCCAGCTACGGCAGCTCGCTGTCGTTTGTGGGGGCGGAGCACCTGCGCCCCCTCCGGCTCCCCTCCACAAACTGCATCTCGGAGATCACGCCTGTGATCAGCTCCGTCTACACCCAGATCCAGCCCATCCCGGGCCGGCTGGAAATCCCGGGGAGCCGAGATGCTGCGGAAGGCCACGAGGACATTCCCGAGGGGGCGCAGATCGTGTACCGGGGGCGCGACCCGGGCATGTCGCCCAGCAACGGCTGCCAGGATTCCACAGACACTGAAAGCAACCACGAAGAGAGGACCTCGCAGCTGCCGGTGGGAAACTGCACCAGCAGCCGGCAGAGCCCAGCCTACGCCAAAGAGGACCCCAAACTGCAGGAGGGCACCCCGGCTGCCCGAGCAACGCCCAGCTCAGCCAAAGATGTCCTGCGCGTGGTGAACGAGGAAGGGGAGCAGGTGAAAGCCTTCAAGTGTGAGCACTGCCGGATACTCTTCCTGGACCACGTGATGTTCACCATCCACATGGGCTGCCACGGCTTCAGAGACCCTTTCGAGTGCAACATCTGTGGCTACCACAGCCAGGATCGGTACGAATTCTCCTCCCATATAGTGCGGGGAGAGCACAAAGTAGGCTAACTCCAACCTGCCCCCTTGCCCCGATCTCCTCCCACTGCCTCTAGCTCTGCCCCTCCCTCTGGGCATGGACTTGGTTTTCTTTTATACTCCTTTGCACTGACTTTGGCTACAAAATATTTAAAAAAAATCAATAATGAAAAAAAAAATCACGAGGGGAGCGCTTAACGATTTGCCTTTTTATAAACGGAGTTATTTAAATATGGTTAATGGATTTTTTTACATTCTTTGTGCTTCTCCCTCCCAGTGGTCCCTTAGTTATTTATTAAGCTTTTTTTATTTCATTGTAACTCTCTCCCAAAGCTCTTTGAATTTTTGTCAGAGACTTGATCTATTTCTCTCTCTGCCGAGAGGAGCGGAAGCCTCAAGCACACGTCGGCAGCACACGCAGACACGTGAGCGTGCGACATGACACGCACACGCATGAACACGCGTCTGACGGTTTAAGCCTCTCGCCCCGCCCCTTCCTGTGGACTCTCGCTGGTTTCAATCCTAAACTGCCTGTCAAGCTGCCATCGGGTCAAATTAGGTGCTAAAGTAAAGAACTCCCCTGGCCAGGAAGGCCATGAGCTAGCCACAGTGGGTGTCCTTAAGGTGAATATCCCCCACGCTTTAATGGGGATCTCTGTGGCCTGCCTGGAACATAGAATAGTGCCTCCCGCCCCGGGAACTCTCTGTCCCCGCCGGGGAAGTGGCTGGTTGACAGCTCTGTGATGAAACCTCCTGTAGGGCGAGAGGATGGGCAGCACGCACAAAGCAGCATGGGGCTGAAGCTGCCGCAGCACCGCCTATCGAAGGCAGGTGGCCCTGCACAGACACGTCAGGGCTCCGAGTCTCGTGGCTTTTCAGTACACGCTGCCTCGGATCAGAGGTGGGAGGGTAAAGGGGATCCTGCTGTGCCCGTGACGAGGCGAAGGCGTTTCAGCCAGGAGGCCAGCAAGCATCCTGAAGTGACAGCTTCGTTTCCCCCCTCCCCCCCAAGCCCGTACCTCTCTGAGAGCTGAGGGGAAGAACGCTGGCTGAATTGGCTCCCCCTGTGTCACCCCTCGGTCTGCTCTTCAAGTGTGAGTAAGAAACAGCCCTGGATTAGGCGCCTGCCACTGGTGTCTGCTCCCTGCCCAAAGCACTTGGCTTCCTTTAGCAGGCATGATGGTGACCATGTCTGCTGGCGACTCGGGCTGATCCCCGGAGGTCTTTGGTCTTGTTGCCTGGTGATCTGGTGGTGTGGAAAGGCTGGAGACGGCATCCAGGGAAGGAAGGAACCAGGTCAGCCCCTAGAAATCTAATCCCGCCGTTTCGTTCTGTGCCGCGTAGTTGAAGAATTTCCTCCTCTTCGCCAGCTTTCCCAGGGATCACGGCCGGGCACTCGGGCCGTCTGATTCTGTAGCTTCCCAGTGAGCACGTCTGGCTCCTGTTTGCACCGAGGAGTTGGGTCAATCGTGTGAGCCCTAAAGAGCTGCACTTCCAATGCGAAAGCTTGTTGTGGGGTTGTGTTGGCTCACAGGTAGCTGTGAGGCTGCGTGGCACAGCAGAGATGTGGAAACTGTCTCTAGCACTCGCGTGTAAGCAGATTGTGTCTTTAGAGCAGGGGTAGGCCATACAAAAACCGCAGCCCCCCGCCGCTATGTTTACCTGCGCCTCAGCAGGTATTGGAGCAGCAGTATCCGTCCACGGACTGGGATGCCTCTTCCCGCCACTCGCGTTGGCCGGGAACGGCGATTCGCAGCCAACCAGAGCTGCGATCCTCCGATACCTGCAGAGGCTCGGGTAAATATGGAGGTGGGGGACTGCCACGGACTAACCCTGCAGCCCAGATCCAGCCCGTCGACCGGAATTTGCCCACCACTGCCTTAGAGAGATGTTTTCAATGGGGGCGGGGGGATTTGCATCAGAAAAGTGACTTCTGTTGAAAGTTGGCTCTCCCCCACAGGCTGCTACGACTGGTAGCCTGAAATGTGAGGCAACTGAGATCTAGGTTGATTATTGTAGGGAATCACCCAAGAAAGGGGGGAAGGTGATT